AAGTTGAGCTACATGGGAACATAGATTTCAGAATGTTGTTTAAGTCACATTGTTCTGTGATCTCTCTCTAAAAAATTATTACTCTGAGTCTTCAACAGGCTGACAAAAGTAAGGTACTTTTTAAAGGATCAGAACTCAAATGGACTAACAAAACTGATTCAAAGACTGACCTGCTTAAATGTGAATGTTAATTCTTGAGTATAGGTAGATTGCATTTAGCATTCATGCAAAGCATACCCTTCCTTACCACCTCCAGAGCTTTTATAACTAAATAAACTCTGCTGACTTAAATAATGAATATCCAAGTGACAGACTTGGCAGGAAACTCAGACCTCATGGAAAGCTGTGAGAATCTTCTTGTGCATGCACAGCTTTTCAGGGATTTGTCCAGTTTATGCATTAATGCACTCTATCATTTTGGTCATGCTTGCTTGCTCCCACACACCTCCTCCCCTCGATGAAGACAGTGTGCTTCTACTGCTGCATCTTTCAGAGACTGCAGGATCTGCAGGCAGAGCTGAGCCACACTCTCTTTGCAGATGACTCTTTTACCTTTTACTCTTCTGAGTTGGAAGTTCCCACCTGGGAGCAGAGCCAGCAAAGGGGCTCCTCAGAGTCCCCTCGGCAAATGGACTGAAACTGGACTGTGCTAATCTTGGAGAATTTACACCAAAACAGATTGAGCAGTGCTCACTTGTGTGACTGCACCTGGTGATGAGCTGGATGGGACCCTTGTGCCAGTGGGTGGTTACATGTAGGGAGCCACAGGAGCATCTTCAGGTGACAAAGCTGGGGCCGGAAAAGTGCCACTGCCAGTGCTCAGCCTAGGGTAGTGACATTGTGTCTGTGCACTCACCTATCATGTAAATGTACACGCTTAAATCTATTTCGGTTTGCTCTTCTTCAGTGTACTGAGCCTTCCCATCATCTATTCATTTAAACAACTGTAAGAGCAGTAAACAGCTGGAAAAAAGTCTGTACCCCATTCACCAGATTAACCACTTTGAAACTGTTTCCTTTAAAGGAAAGCAGCAGCTATGATGTTGCCTTGATTAAAGGCAGCAAAATCCAGCCCTTGGGTAAACCTGGGCGTTTGAGAACTTTGAGTAACAGGCAGCAATACCTGCTGGTTTGCTGAGTTGGCATTATTGCATGAATGTATATATGATCAGGGCACCTGAGTGACATGGACACAACAATACAGAGGTGAGAAACTTTACCCATGTATTTGGGTTTTTAGCAGAACAGCTCAGATAATGCCAGCAGAGAGATGTATTCCACAAATTCTTCTTCCATGTGGCCTGCTTTTCTATCCCAAACAGCCTCTTTGGGCAATACTGGACAAGGTTTTAAATACCCTGGAGTGATTAATCCCACCAAATGTTGACTGTCTGGCACATAAACCCAGCAAAGATTTTAGCAAGCGGTTGCCATTTTGAACAAAATGTAGTTATCAACCATCTACTGAGATATAAGAAGAAATAACAAAACCATTATTCACTTTATTCACATAGAAGAATATTTAGGAGCTCCCCAGAGTAATTTGATGGCTCCTTTTACCCCTTTTTCCTGCAGTAGGATCTGTCTGTCTTTTAAGACTGGAATAGGTTTGCTGTCCTGGATAAAAATCTCTTCCTCATGTCTTCCTCATGTACAAGTTTAGTACTCGTATAATACAAACCTTGTCTTTGTGCAGTCCTGACACCTATATAGAGGATATCTTTCCTAATGGATGTCGTTTTCTAATGTAGTTGTCTCTACAATATTATACTGTATGATGATAATAAAAGGGATTAGATGGCCTCAAGCTTCATTGGTGAGTATCTGACAAGGGAAAATTTTGGAATTAAAAAAAACTCCACAGGTTAGTTTCACACTCAGGATTTCTACACATGAGAGGCTTTCAATTGAAATGAGATGCTTCTCTTTAACTGCTTCACATTATCTGCTCTGGAATAAGTAGAGATAAAGAAGCACTGGACTTTTATCTTGCTGTAAGTCATTGTTTTGTTGTAGTGGTGATTTCTTTAAAAATACTCCCTCAGTGCTGTGGGCTAGAATTTCATGTTCCTTGGGACTGATGGGGACAGGGCATTTTGGGATTATGGCACTGGAATTAGAAGCATATTTTGTTATTGGTCACTGTAAATCTCAATTTTCTGTATTCTTTAACATAAGTGTAAAAGTACCATGATTTGTCTTTTGCCATGAGAGCTCATTGCTCTCTGGCTGTGGATTTGTGTCTGAGGACCAAAGACTGATTGATGTGGGTCGATACAAGACATAATTCTCCCAAGTACCCTATTCCTAAGCAGCAGCAGGAATAGGGTTTATCTGCACTGGAGCTTGCCAAATCAAAGGTCTGTAAGGAACCTCAAAGTTCATTTGAGTTATCCCACTGGCCCCAGGGTCAGCTGTCTTATTTCAGTCTTGACTCAAGCCTTCTAGAGACCTGCACTAGGAAGAATCCCCCAGCAGCAGAGTAAGAAAGCAAAAAGTGGCACTCACCTCTGAAAAACTTCATGTTGGGTATGGGTCTTCCCAAGACCAGGGAAGGCAAGAACAGAAGTACTTCTGTGATAGATTAAATCAAAGGTCTGGCTAGCTTAACACTGTGTGTATAAGATGTTGAAATTGGGCACATGTGTTGAAAAAGGCCTTATAGGGAATTTCTCCCCCAATGGAGACAGTATGCAGACTACCTTTTTTAATTACATCAATAGATCTATTTTTTATTAACTTTATAATTCCTTTTAAAAACTGTTTAACTTTTTTTCACCTGCAGAATATCCTTTGCAATTAAGGTTCATCATTCAAATCTGAATGGAAAAAAACCCCTTTCATTTTCTTTATTAGAACTCAGAGCTCAGAAGATCTTTGACAATTGAATTGGGGAAAATAGTGAAAGACTATTCCCTGCTCACCTTTCACAAACCATTTGGAAGCTGAAAGTTCCCATAGAATTTAGTCTGCCATCATTTGGGAGCCACTCTATGCATTTATTGTTCTGACAGCTTTCTCCTTCCTTCCTGTGCTCTTTGTGAAAGTGAGTGATCAGAATTATGTGCTGTAGTCAAGATGGGAATGCATGATAGATTTTTACAACTGTATGACCTTTTTTACTGTTATTTTCCTCTGCTCCCTTTCTCACAATGCTTAATATGGAATTCAGTCTTTTTGAACATGAAAAATTGCTCTAAATCCACCTTCCTGTGTGGAAATACCTAATTTATATCCCATCACTATGCATATATAGTTCATCTAATCAGTGTTACATTGAAGCAGGGTACCAGCTTCACATTGTATGTATTTGCGCTGTTTCATGAGCTGTTTTGTCACCAGTTAAAATACAAGAAGAATCCTTGCTGGATGTCTTTACACTCAGCCTTACTCTGAACACATTGCTCTGCAGACATTGCAACCTCACTCTCTACCCTTTTGCTACATAATTTTTAAACATCTGGTACAGCACCAGCCCTAGCACAGATTTCCACAGTAGTATCTTGTAACCAACCTCTGATGCAAAACCTGCCCATGTCTTCCCGTTCTTTATTCCCACCTTTGTGGGAATATGTGTGTAAGGAAGTTAATTAAGATCCCTCCTTTCTTCTCAGGAGGCTTCTTTGAGAAGCTTGCTGAAAACTTTGGCCATCAAAGTATATTGTATCAAATAAATCACTCCTTTTTTACATGCTCACTGACTTTTAAAAAGGCCCTAATAAACTGGTATCTCAAAAAATTCCATTTATAATGGAAGCACCTCAGTCTTTCCCCAGTGGGCCATACTTTGGCTTTATTTCTGTTAAATGTATTCATCATTCTCATTCCTACTGCTTTGCCTTGTACAGGCAGAGGAGGGGATTTTGCAGCAGAATTGGGATGACCAGTGATGGCTGAGTGGCTTCAGACTCTCAAAGGCTATTTTTCTAGAAGCAAGGACATGGGAAACTCAGAGTGTTCAAAAGTTTGGCGATGTGAAGGAAACCTTTCTTTGGACACAAAACCCCCAACCCTGTGTCACCATTATTGAAGAATCTACAGCAGGACTGTAAGTTTCCTCCTTAAGAATTTTAATCTGGTGCCCTGCCACTCAGGGTTGCTCAGCAGAGGTTTGAAGACTTTCAGGACAGGCTGAACAGTCCACAGGATGCTCTCCTGAGCAGCAGTTGCCAGCAGCACACAATCTGAGATGCCTGGCACAGCTGCCACAAGGAGAGAACAGGTTTATTAAATACTGTTTGAGAATTTTTAAGTTGCAAAGCTTTTGTTTTGCATGCTCTGTGTATTCATGTGCATGTTAAAATGGGATAGTGCACACCAGCCCACCAGGTGCAAGGGGCTCTGTGTGATGGATCAGAGGGATCATTCTGCAGCCTGTGGGTGCTTTCAGGAATGTTGATCATTGTTTACCTGTAGCACAGAGTGGATGATCTACGTAAGAGCTTCCACCGACAGGCCCAGAAGTGTTTTCTGTGTACTGTCCAGATTTTTTCTCTCAGTAAGATATTACCCTTCTAATTTGAACTGCACACTCAGTATGAATGCTTCACCTTTCAGAATTATTTATTTTCATTTTCTATGTTTTAGGAACAGCTGATGAGGAGATGCTTAATCAGTAAACAAGGTGTAGCTTCACTAAGTAGACAGAATAAGATTCTGTTTACCTTGATGTACATCAAAAGTATATCACCAAAGGTACATACACACATTTTGAGACTATTTTGTACTATGAAAAGAGCAAAGTTAAGGTGGTTTGGCTTAGGGTCCTGGTGAGCAGTCTTTCTTATTGGGAATCTCCATGTATTGAAGGTCTGTATCTGATTCACGGCACCTTTGGGAGCAGTTTGGTCTCTGTCACACTGAGGCAAAGAGATGGCAAAGCTTTGAGTGGCTATTTTTATAGTAATAATAATAATAACCTATTGATAATGCCCCTGTGTTGTCACACTCTCTCCATAGCCACTAATTGCCCTCCTTGTTCTGGCCAGACTGTGCTCTGTTATCTTGTAGGTATTTTCTGGCAGCTGCCAGGTCTGATTGAAATCCTTTCTTTCTTTAAGCACTTCTTTATGTTTCTCTCTTTGCTGTTATGCCTTTGACTTCCACTTGTCCTTCACCCTCCCTAGTCTGAGAAACATTCCATGTATCAGAGGGTTGTGGACTCCCAGGAGATCCCTGAACTTTATTTCACCTTTTACTTTTCAGTTCACGTAAAACTGTGAAATGGTTAAGCCTGACGCTTCCAAGGGATGTTACAGGTGCTGAATTGGCAAAACTGAAAAGGTTGGTTCATGGGTTTCAGGTTTGTTTTCTTAGTTGTTGTTGTTGGGTTTTTTTTTGGGGGGGGGTGGGGGGGTGGGGGGGGGTGTTTGTGGCTTTTTTTGTTTGTTTTGTTTTGGTTTTGTTTTGTTCATCCCCATCAATGACCTATGGGGCTGTTCAAAATCTTGGGCAGTTTTGGAGATACGACTTTGTCTGGATTCTCTCTAAAGGTTTCTTACCCCAGATAGTCTTTCTCTGACCCCTGAAACTGAGGAGGCTCATGCTGGGACGCTGGCATGGGAATGGAGAAAGGGGACCCTACCCTGCTGTGAGAATCTTCACAGCAGCCCTTGCTCTTTGGTGTGCCACTCTGGCTGCTCTGCACTCAGGAATAATCAGGGGAGGTCTGTGCTTTGCACTTGCACAAGTGCATTGCTTGCTTCTCTTTTGGAACATGACCACCACACAGAACTTTAAAATGCACCGGTGAAGGCAGAAACACTTAGGGCTCCTGCTCATATAGGAAGGAAAAGGGAAGCAAAAATCATTTTTCTGCTGTTATCAAATAAAAGAAAACAATTTTTAAACAAAATATTTATAAATTTGGGACAAGGAAGAAAGCTACTAAAAATTTAGGTTCCCACCATTGCTATTACTGAACTAATGGATGAAAAAGAAAGAAAATGAATAATCTTAAATTCTAAATCAGAATTAACAGTATGATGCAAAAATCCAGCACTAATTTTTGATGTTAATACCTTTCTCATCAAATCATACATTAGGTAATCATACATGGGTTGTTCTTGATAACCTTAAATTTTAGTTAAGAAACCTAAAAAACAACTTAATATTATGAGGACCAGAATAAGTGGTGTGGGGAACTGAGGTCAGTGTTGGAAAGGAGAAGCCAGCTGAGTGGCAAACACACATGTGATGGGATAGGCTTTTGGGGCTATTTTGGACAGGGAAATAGGACCAGGTTGGGGGCTCGCTTGACTGTGGTCAAGAAACATTTTGAAGACTTGGAGGGAAGCAGTAACATGAGGATGGCAAGGAGCTGGGGAGAAACAAAACTCCCATCTGGGCTGTTGGTGACCTGAATGCTCAGGCAGCAGAGATGCAGGGCTGAGTGCCCAGGCTGGTGAGAGCACAAAGAATGTCACCATTCTGGGACACAGAGAATTCCTTTTGGGCTCTTGGAACGCATCACAGTCTCCTTCGTGTCCTAAGCTCTCTCCATGTCACTGCCAGAGTAGATTGTCAGGAAACTCTGTAGCCTGGTCAGGTGCTAAGAATTGCTGATCTTGTCTGTATTCTTTTCAAAGGTCTTTGAATCACCCTGTAAATCTCATTAAATGCTCAGCTTCAGAACTACTTTCTGTTTTCTGCTCCATCATTTCCAGTAAGTCAAGGGGTTCAAGTCTGGAAGATGTGTCATCAGAGGAGACAAGGTAGGTAAAAAAACCCTATGGGCTAGCAAGGCAGAGTCAAGGACTTAGGAGTACACAAAGAGAGAAGAAATGAACACAAATAGATTATCTAAGTGCTAGTGTGTTAGAGTGGGATAAACAGAGCAGCCAGAAAGCAAGGAGCATCAAAGCACTCTGGTCAAAGTCTTTTCTCTCTGTGCATGTGCATCACTGCCCAGTGGATATCAAGCTCTCTAAAATAAGTGCTATACAAACCCATTCAAATATCTAGAAATATAAACACAACCTGGTTAACTATATGGTAAACTCAGAGTTAATTCATCCTAATGCATGTGCCTATTTGTTTTTACATTATTGAAATGAAAGAAAAGCCAGTATCAAGCAAATAACTAAGGAAAGGATTTAGGGAGTGACAGATGATGTCTCAAAGTCAGTAACAGTGGCTGAAGAGCCAAGAGGCCATTCCTTTGCTGCTGTGGACTGGCATAGGTCCACTGCTACTAATGCTGTAAGCTAAGCATCAGTTTTTGCACAACAGAAGAAAAAAGGTATTTATAGACTCAGGATAAAGTAAGAGCTGTGGTTTATTCATGCTGGTAGCTTCCCTGCTAACAGAGTTGATATGTATTTTTGCTTAGCCCACTAGGATGCACTTATTACCTTTAAATGTGTGCTCAATATGCAGAATAACAATACCTGCAGCATTGGAGGGGAGTGATAAGAGTCCACTGGTCTGCAGGATTAAGAGGCTGAATGCTCCAGTCAACACACAACAGCCATTGCTCATGTTGTTCTAGGAAGTTTGCACCATTGCAAGTCCCTTTTCCACTGGGTTAATTCCATTGGGAATTAGCAGACTAGGAAGGGTGCAGCAGCAGCACCACATTACACTAACCCATGGATTCTGAGTCAGTATCACTTAAGTGAGGTCGGACATTGGAGTTGGCAGTATTGATGACAAAAGCTTGAGGCATCCAGTGCCAATACAAACCATCCTGGTTTTTACTGACAGCTGCTTTTCATTATTTCCAGAGAAGCATTTCCAAGACACAAGATTTGTATCTTGCTGCTACATGCCTTCTACACACAGTGCTTAGGAGATAATCCCCAATGCACTGTAGTATATGAAGCAATAAATGGCTGCTGAGATTAATAGACTGAGCAAAGCTGAAGCATTTAATCAATCTGCAGAAAGTACTCATTGCCAGAATACTGCAGGCAAGAGAATTTGTTCTTCATGTACAACTCCCTCCCTTAAGAGGGAGCAGCAAAATTTCTACTCATCAGTGAGCACTTGAACAGCTGAACTGCCCTTTTTCTAAACAGGACACCTCAGTGTGGGGTGGAGATGAAGGGATCAGCTAGAGTCCTAACCAAGCAGGGAACAGGTACAGACTTAGGCCTGAATGAGGAAACCTTGGCCAATGGTTTCCATGCTTTACACTGAACTTATATTGTCCTTTATCTTTGTGCCAAGGTACCCCCATGTAACACAAAAGAATATTAGAGCCTCTTCCTGGTATGAGAAAGAGCAGAATCCAAGGAGACTTTGGATTTTATTGATCCAGTCCAACTTGGATACAATTTATAGCAGCTGCCAGGCTGCTGCAATTTACATCAGTGCTTTAAAGTCCTTAACTGTGTGTCAGCGGGGATTACTGGGATGAGGTTTCCTCTGACAGACCTTGATGGACAGCTCACAGCAGCCAGGGGGAAAGGTAACACAGAACCTGTGTATGCCTTACCAGCACAGAGGTCACTGCTCAGGCTTTCTGACTTCACAAGCTGTCCATAGGTCTCCAGTTTCCCACACAAACACATCCATCTGCCTCAGAGGCACTTCCACTTGCCTCAGAGGGCATCACACTCCTCCTCCTGGCCTGAGACACCAAAGCAATCCACAGAGTTTAGCAAGTCCCTCTCAAAAGGAATTCATTGTGGTAGTGTTCGCAGGGGTCCCAGGACGAGGGAAGAGATGAGAATCTTGACTCCATGTTTCAGAAGGCTGATTTATTATTTTATTATATATATTAAAACTATACTAAAAGAATAGAAGAAAGGATTTCACCAGAAAGCTAGCAAAGTAATCAAAAGGAATGGAATGATTATAAAATCTTGTGACTGACCAGAGAGTCTGAGACAGCTGGGCTGTGATTGGCCATTAATTAAAAACAACCACATGACACCAATCAAAGGTGCACCTGTTGCATTCCACAGCAGCAGATAATTATCATTTACATTTAGTTTCTGAGGCCTCTCAGCTTTTTAGGAGAAAAGATCCTAATGAAAGGATTTTTCATAAAATATGTCCATGACAATTCATATTTCATGATGCAAGAAAAAATATGCAAGCCCTGATGGGGCAGAAAGAAGATGGAAATGCCATTTCATGCACTTCTCATCTTCACTCACATGTTTATCTCTACCCTTACAGCACATGTTTATTTGTACTTCCCAATATCTGACCAAATGGGGAGCTAGAATTTTCACTGCAAACCCAGTTACTCTTTATTTAAACCTTAAAAAATGTTAAATGCTGGTGCAGGGCTTGGGTGCTCTGAGAAGTGCTGGTGCTGCCTGCTCTCTCACACTGGACTCCTAACTCATTTCTGTTTGCATCTTTTCCCTAGATATCAGATTAGATTGGATATTAGGAAAAATTTGTTTACTGAAAGAGTAATTGAGCATTGGAACAGGCTGCCCAGAGATGTGGTACAGTCACCATCCCTGGAGATGTTAAAAAATGTGTATATATGGCACTTAGTGATAGAATTTAGTGGTGGGCTTGACTGTGCTGTGTTGATAGCTGGATTCAATGATCCTAAAGGTCTTTTCCAGCCTTCCGGATTATATGATTCCAGGGTTTTGTAGCCAATTGTCCCAGTTTGACGTGTCCACTATCACAGGCTCTTCCAGCCCTTCTTCAGAATTTTCAGGTCAGTCCAAAACATTTCCAGAGAAATCATACATATTAAAGGGAACATATCATCACTGGTCACTCAAAAATCTTCTCCCACATGACCAGCTGATGCTTGCTAAGGTTGTGTGAGAATGCAAATGAAGAAGCATTCCTGCCTAAGCTCAGGTGTTTCACAAAGCAGCTTGGTAGATTCAGATGGATCTGAATCAGGTTTCTAATATTAATAATTTCAACTTCACAGACAGGAAAAAACTGGAAAAGCATACTAAAGAAGGGGGTGGCTGTTAATTTGTAAGGACTTTGAAAACAGACAATAAGCAAAACTAGATTTACCTTTCTATAAATCCAAGGTAATCTGCTTTTCTCCAGTATCTTTGTAATGAAGTCTCATTAGTTTACAGATGGGGCTGTGGCATTTAAGTGGCTAATGATACATGGCCTCATTTTTCTTTCTTCACTCATCTGAGAGATGCCCATAGTGTCCTTAGGATGTTATTATTTTTGAACTGAATATGACTGCAATATTTATTAACTGTCAGTCTTTCATATAACATTGTAAAGTCAATTAAGGAATTATTTATTAGAACAATACACTCACTAATGTGAACTAAACATTTTTAGAAAATTGACTTACTCAAATGTGAGGAGAGACTTTCTTAAGGCTTTTCTCTGGGTTTCACTTAGACAGGCTTTATTCTGAGGAGACCCTCCAGGTTTTATTCACATCAGCATAAACGTGGAGGAGCACAGTGCCAGGTAGTTTAGGTATCTGTAGAACATGTTCTCCAAAAACATTTGCAAAGCAGGAGGCACTCTAGGTATGCTTATCTTTATGAATGTAGGAAAGTTGGAATTATTTCTGAGTTTTTATCTCCTTTGCATAAGAAACACGTGAAAGTCTTGGGAGTTTTCCAGAGCTAATTAATTTAATCAGTCCTTATCACTCCCAGTTCTGAGCCTTTTAAGAAACTGGTTTGAGCACTTGTCACTGCTAACTTGAAATGGCCTGATTTTACAGTATTATCCTTTCTAGTTCTGAAAAATAGTTTAGGACTATAGCCACAATTTAGACATGTATCTTACAGGCTTTCTGAAAGCTCTGTCATCAAAATTTATGTATGTTCCTGTGAGAACTTAAGGGATGGAAAATGTCATGCTACTGTAAAGAAACAGATTTTGACAGTGACAATCCATAACTAATTTGAAGGAATCTTACCAATTAGTTTGAACTCAAGGTTGTCCTGCCTTAAAATTATTTTGCTATGAAAAGAAATGTGTTTTTCTTCTTGAAATCACATTTAACCTTTATTCTTTTTTAGAAATGAACATCAACTACTTTTTCTCAGAAAAGCAGAAAAAGCTGTAACACAGTAACCATTTAAAGGCATTATATTTGAAGTGCTGTTACAACAAGAAAAGCTGTCCATGTGGAGAAAACAAATTATCAAATGTGAATCCATTCCAATTCTTTAGTCTATTGTCAAAAAAAGCTATTTAGATAAGACTGTATCTCTATTTCTAGAGTACTTTGACTGCACTGATTACATTGCAGATATTAATGAAAAAAACTCCAAAGTAAACCCCATCATGTACTTTTGGCATGGGATCCATAAGAAGTGTAGAAGGGGGAAACTATTATTCCTATTGACTTCACTGGGGAGGGGAATAATGTACGTAAAAAGATGGGTACCAGTGTCAGAACTGCGGTCACTCAGTCCTTTTCCATGCATTTAAAGGACAGGATGGCCTTCTGACAAAGACATTTTTTGTTTTCTTTAAACTTTCCTTAAATACATACAGCAAGAAAAGTGGATTTGATACTGCCATATGTGGAAATTGACAGCACAGTAAAATAAGTGTGAAGTTCACTGCGGCCAGAATAGTGACATTTTATTCTGACTACATATTAGCATTTTTATGCCTACTTTGCAAAAGATGTTAAATAGCAGGTATACAGTGACTCAGACACCAGAACCATTTCCCAATTAGCTGCCTTTATTAATTCCATGAACCAAGGGCATGTATCATTCCATGCTACTGCAGGCCATTTTCAATAGGGATTTGCTCTGACACACCCTAATGGCAACTTTTAAGCAATAAA